ACAGAAGTACATTTTGACCGTAGTAGTTATACAGTAGACAAAAAACACATCATTCAAGTATTTCTCCAGCCATGAAATATGAATGTAGGATGTACTCAGTAGACTATTTTGTAGGGCACCAATGGCCGCTTGTGTGTCTACCTATTATTATAAGTGGCTGCAAAGAGCTTTCATTAAAATTGATGAAAGCTCCTTTCGCTGTAAAAAGTCTCAATAAGTAAACAATGCAGCCAATTAACTTGTCTCAGACAGAACAATGGGACAAAATACACACGATGTCAAGTTTCTCAGCAAGTCACACCAAGCTTTTTAAAGCTCCTTGGTTTAAAGATTTCATGACATCCTCACAAAAATACTCTGCACCTGGTGGTACCAAGGTTCAAAATTAATGTATGTTCCAACTTCCTAGTTTCTCAACATATTTCTTATCATGATGCCTCCAAATATCTGAGAAGAATAGTGAGTCCTGATTTGCACTGCTTGCAGTGTGTATTTTGAATGACAGACATTATAACAAAGGGCCTCCTTCCTCTCAGACAAAGGAGGTAAAAGAGAGAACCTCCCTTTTTGTGACAATTATCAGAGATTGCTCCCATTCTTGACCAGCTAAGGCATTTTGCTCATTATATGACACGATTATGACCATATGAAAATTTGTGGGCAATATTCACAAGAACGACTGTTTTCAGCTGCTAAGCCATTAATTTCGATCCCCGAATATTGTGGCCAGTGTAATAGCAATTGAGGAACTTGATCAATTTATTTGCAAGACCTGTGTGTTCTACATCTCAATTCTTACAAATAGACTGAAGGAAATAAATTTAAGTATTATTTTATATGGCCTCCTTCAGTCAATATTGATCATGTCGGTAAAATTCTATTAGACATTAGCTTTGGAGTTAGTGAGTATGTGTTTGTAAGCTCTCTGGAATTTCTTCTTTTTTTGTGACCCTTATAGTTGGCTGAAAGGGGCAGATAGAAGAGTGTGGATTGTGCTCTCCATGCTTATTCTTTGTCCTGATAATGTCGATTTTGCACATCAATTGGATTGGATGACTGTCTGAGCTCACCCCGACGGGATCAGAGCTCACCCCGATCGGGGTAAACTTGCCCCGTCGGTGTGTATAGACTGATCAATTCACACCTTTCCTGGCTTTGTTTTGGGATTTTGCACCTCTTTGACCAGAACTCCCACCCCGTCGGGGTGACATTACCCCGTCGGGTTTAGTGATTATGACAGTGTCACCCCGACGGGGTGAGTACCTTACACCGACGGGGTGAGTACTTTACACCGACGGTCCTGTGATTTGGTCCTGACGGGGTAGCTGCTAGCCCTGTCGGGGTGCTGAAAAACCCGTCGGTCTGCTTGCATTTTCTATAAATGATATCTAAAGTTATGAATACTGCAGAACAATAATTTTCATATCACTATACTCCTTACATCAAGACCTGCGCACTGATGTGAAACTTGAATGCAAAATGTGAATTTTTACTTGACATTCCAAATGGCCAGTGACTTTCCTAAATTGAGATGACCAGTGTTAAACCATTCTTTAACCTCTATCTCATGTATAGAAAACAACACATTTGTTAGATTTTACAGCTATAAATCTGCAGCTACAAATAGAACTGGACAAGCCATAGGGAAGGCGGTTAGATGAGCCTTTGCACATCTTTGTCCAGTTAATTTCGTGATATTCATCCAAAGCAACTCTTTTTCCATTATTACACAGTCTCACGCAAAATCATTTTTGCTTTCTTCCTACCCAAGACTGTGCAATCTGTAGAATAATATAGAAGCCTGACTTCAGGTCTTTTGCCCTTGTTCATTCAGGAACAAAATTCTGTCAGAAAACATGAACTTTTCATGTTTGGAGTAGGAGTAGGAGTTCAATTTATATCTAATTGCAAATGGTGTAGCTTAAAGCAGATGCTTTACCACATTTTATTTGTAAGTTTGGCAGGCTTTGGTCCTACACACATGCAGCACTACAGAATTGATTTTTAGAAAAGATATCAGAGAAAGAGAATGATGGATGTGTGAAGCGGCAACTTGGCAGCCACAGCTGGCAGAGTATCAGCATATCAGCAATGAACCTGCAAGATTTATCTCAGAAACTCTCAGGCAATCAAGTTTCTGTCTGAAACATATTAGCTTAATGTTGACTTTGGCCTGGGTGGCTACATTTCAATGTTCATTCGATTAGCTCTGAAATGCACCATGTCTCTTCTCCAATTTCCTGTTTCAAGGAGGGCCATATGGTGATAGTATTAAGCTACACATAATGATTATTGCTGCAATGAAAAAGCAATAAGGCCACAACAATTTGATAACTTGGTTCTTAGGGTCCTTTTTTCATATTTTATTTTCCAATCAGGAATCTGAAAATACAGTGATCATTGCAGATTTCTGTTCAACTGAGTAACAATAATTCACTGGAGTCACATTGACTCCAGTGTATCTCCATATTTTCATAGCCCCTTAGCATTTCTTGGATAAAGAAAAAGTTCCAGTGAAGTCCAGTAAAATGGACCTCTGCCCTCATTTCCCACAAGACATCAATAAGTCACTGACAGTTTGATGGAAAAAAATAACAAATGACCATCATTACGGTAATCCCTGTGCTAAAACCAAATAAAAGCCTAATCCCCTTGAAATGAACAAAAACCCATGTGTGCGGGTACCATGAATTATCCAACATACTGTACATCCCAACATTTTAGTAATGTCTTCTTGATGAATGTATGTTGACACATTATTTGTTAGCGGACAGCGAAGTCTAGTGAAGTTATGCACCTCATGCAATAGGGTGAGTGAGCGATTTGTTACCATCTCACCACAAAGGTGATATCACTCACCCATAATCAAACACCATTTATTGTAAAAAAAATTACTTATTCTACGGCCCTTGAAATATATATCATTTTGGAACCATTTTACAACCACATTGCATAAGAAATGTAGATGTTAATGAAAGAACCCAGTTTGCGTCTTTAAAGAAATTTAAAATGACCCTATGTCATTCTATATCCTGAGTATAGTTCAAAGTGTATGTGGATATATATAATATAGCTAGTAAAATATACAATGCTAACCAATAAAATGCTCTGTTTGTACCTGCAAAGAAATTCGATATTGAAAAAAAACTGACAAGAATCAGCACATGTAAATGTTGCCTGTAACTGCAATGCAGTTTCCTTGGATTGAAACTTTTTGATCTAATAAAGATTGACCAATACCTGCTCCCCCTGAGGCTACTTTGTAAATCATAAAAATAATAAAAATTTTATCTCCTACCATGATACAGAATAACTCACAGAATAATAGCCTGGGGTTTAACATGATATTGATTTCTTCTTAAGTATCAAAGGAACTAGAGGCACTTTGATTATATGATAGTCCACCAGGAGTCCAGAAGTGAAAACATAAAGGGAAATCTATCATGACATCAAGGAAAACATGGATTGGCTTTTAAGTACATGTATCTTTAATTTATTTGAATACGAAATCAGAACATAAAGCTATGGAAAATCTGAAATCAATGTAAATAAAGGTGCACAAGACAAACAAAATCTACAATTTGTAGCTCTTCTTTTGCCGATGACAACAAATTTGAAAACCAAACTATTGACAAAGACCAATATATATGGAGATCATTTAGACTTCTTGGCTCCAAAAGAGTTTAATGTAAAAATGCCAGCCTTGCAATGCAAGGAAACAGGCATATTGCATCCATCTATAATAAACATATCCAACCATCCACATGAAAAACATGACACCTCTACCCACATACATGTAATACTTGGATCAACTTTCTCCCATTTGATAGCCTTTTAACAACCACTACAGATTCAGTACCAAGGATAAATATGTCACATTTTGCTATGTCCTAAAAATCTTCTCACCAAAATTGTAATCTTACCCCCAGAACAATCTAGGCTGCACATAAAATGCAACAAGGCACTGAATTATTGGATACTGTAACACAATTGGCATGATTGTTTTCTGAGGCCAATATTTTGGACAAGAAAGTTTAATTAGTTGTTTTGCAGATCCCTTTGTTTCCTTGGAATGGAAAAATGAAAAGGTCCATTAACCACAGAAAAAGTTATAAGACGCTGGTTTTAACCATATCAAACAATATTTTTCACAAGCTTGAAAGGCTGCAATCATTTTGAAGTCTGCACACATGCCTACGAACATGATAACAACTCAGTCCAACATGTCAGGCGGGGCTTTCAGACCTGTTCCTACAGTACTGCTTGAGGCTAAAAGAAAATGACAAGTAAGAAACAGAGAGGATGTTGTACCTTGATATGTAGTTACCTAGAAACTTCAAAGTCAGTATGAATCTTCAAAGTCAGGATATGAAATACTCACTTTGAATCAATGTAACCGTAAGTAACAAAAGCAGTGAACATGTTTGGTGAATGTCTTCACACTGAAAACCACTGGACAGAGCATGCCCAACCGAGGGTAAGATGAGATGGTAGCCCCACTCTTCTGCTTTGATGATCTGACAGAAGCGATCATGTAATCTTTTCATCCTGTTCATTGCTACATTATGTAAGAAGGGTTTTCAGTTTGCAGTGCACAGCAACTTAATTCTGCCAATCAATTTCTCCTGGCTGATTTTAGAGCGTCCATAGCGCTTACTGAATGCTCCCCACAGCATATGTAATGGCAAGTTTTCTGGGAAATTCAGTATGAAGTGACGTTGATAGGTTTAAGGCATAATATTCTGCACTGCTCTATATGAATGTTAAGAAGTATTTTGGACATCAGCTCCATTCATTCTCATGAATGATACAGGTGTGAAGATGGCTATAAGGGCATGTTGGCTTGATTTTAAGGAAGACATGCATCTCCATGGCAACATGCAAAGCAATTTTTGCAGGCTGAAAAAAGTGAATATAAGCCCCTCGTGATGAGAACTATAGGCAAAGGTTTGCTACAATGTTGTAAATCCATATTTATGGTAATGGTGACTGTCTCCCACCTGTCCTGTCCTGTTCACCCTGCCTGAGCTGCAGGATTCTGCACACTGGGTCTTCAGCGGGGGGGCTGGGTCTGGTCACACACTGCTGCTCACTCACAGCCTCTCTGTAATACATCAACACATGCTGTGAGCAAAGGCTGTCAACGCTTCTTCCCAGTGCTAGATTTTTTTAGGTATCTCCGCAAAACATACATGATTGTATACTTCTCTTTGGCATTCTTTGACCTAATTCTTTCCTTTTGAAATATAAGATATATCTATTTTCTCCAACACAAGCTGTGAGCAAAATATGACAACTGTGGAAAGAACAGGGTGTTTCCCCAGCGGAAGGTTTTTTCCTCTTGGGAAACATATGCTCACCTTCTGGCATTGTTTGACCTAATTCTTACCTTGTTCCTGCAAGATATACCAATTTTCTCTGTCAATATGGTCATAACTTTTGCCTGTCTCTAACAGAGTAAAGACAGACAACCTAGTTGATTCATATCTACATTTATATTGTTTATAAGTAAATGTTTACAATTAAGGACAAACCCTTCAAATTTTGCAGAAGTAAATGTCCTGTTATAGCTGATTTCCAGACTGACAAATTCCTATGTCTACAGCGCATTTCAGGCACGTATATACATGTATCAGATTTAATGCTACAGTTAGTTTGACAAATCTGCAAACAGGTAAAACTTTCCTTCTCATGGGACACTGGCATGGAACACCTAACACACACTGCAGCTCTGTAATCTGTCACTGAGCCAAAAGGGAGTCGGCAAAGAAAGCAAGACAAATGGCAGCTGGTATTGTAGATCTCTTTAATGTGAAACGCTGCTAGGGGGAAAGTAGGATATACAACAAGTAGCAGCTGCGGGGTATAAGTTTTACATGGCAATGCTTTTACAGTACTGGGGAACTTCAGATGAGAAAATGGAATGAAAATTCTCCAAGCTTTCGGCATTTAATACCCAAGTTTACAGAATTGGTAAACCCAAGAAGGTTATAAAATCCTCCTTGATAACCCCTAGCATTTCAAAGTTATTCACAACACCATAGATTTCAAGCAAAAAGATTTTCATGCATCTTATCATCTTCAAAACTCTAGCACTGTCTAGTGATCCTGGGAATAGGAAGGCTTTTAAGGATCACTGCATAAAATGAGTGTTTAAAGCTTATCCTTCTCCATCACCCAATGCTAACGCCCCATTTTCTACCCTCATGCACTTTACAGCAGTCTTGTGACAGTTGTGTTATCAGGACCACTTTCATGGGATTCTTCCTCAAGCGAGGAATGCCCAAAGGTGTGATACAGCTGAGGAGAGGTGATATCCTCTGACGCAAATTGTACATTCATATGATAGAAAGAGATAGATACCTGTTCAAACGTAATACCTTTCAGCATTTTAATATCTTCTTTTGTACCAGCAAAGGGATTTGCATTACAGGTATTAAATAGAAGATGGTTTAGGATAAGTGCATAAGCTGCTAAAGCAATTCAAGTTCTCCTATTATATGCTATATTTTAGCAGGCAATCTTGATAAAAGGTAATTCTACAGCCATTGTCATACTAATATGTCACAGTGTCCTGTAGAGCTGATGACAGGGACTCGCATTCATGAAACCAGTCTTCCTTATCTGCAGTTACATTTAATGGAATCCGTTCCATGCACAAATTGGATCAGTTAGCAGACCATTAGGCTTGTAGCAAATGATGTCAAAAAGCCTGATAAATGCTTTAATAGCAGGATATGACGTAGTCTATAAAAGGGTGAGGTTTCATCAACACTTCAGGTCACTCAGGAGTGCAGCACATGGATGATGAACTGAAACTAGCACCTTATTCAGCCCTGTTGTCAGATCCTCTACAGATACCTTGACCATATTTGCACAACAAAGCTCATGATATCAAGCAATCATTAATGCCTATCATATCCATATGATCTATTAAGTTTAATTTGTCTGCCTTGGCAAAAGTTTGTCCTCTTCCAATGCAATGCAAGCACTTTCTAAACTAACTAACATTAACATTACAAAGTCATGCACATCTATACATCACAGAAGAACTAGTAGACATGCATACAGACATGCATACAAATCAAGTCATCTCCATTATATGATGAGTTGAGTTCAATAAACTGATCAGCATCTTGAGCCACAGCGTGCTTAAACTTCAAAGCAAGATTCTATGAATACATTACCTGGCGGCTTACCGGTATGAAACACAATCAAACACCGTGACTGTAATCCTATTTGACTGCGAACTTGACAAAGCTGCTTAAATTCTGCACCGGGTCCCGGATAAGCCCCAATTTAGAGTCAAAGGGCAAGAATAAATCATGCTATTTTCAGGCTGCTATACATGAAGTTATTCTGAAGTCTATTGAATCGAAAACATGGCTTTCCAACATCAATGCAATTATTCCTTGAACCCAAACCTTTGACATTTTTGTAGACTTTGAAATAAAACCTATGTGACAAGTATACATAGCTTTTCTACTACTAACCTTTGAGCTCATTATATAGTAATAGGTCATGTTAGTTTGGCAAGTTTGCAGACTGTGAAAGGTCTGCTAACATATAATTCATAATGTCTCATCTGAGACAAACCAAGAAAAAGTGAACTTGTGTTCAAGGGTGTAAGAAACTTAACATGAGAAGTTGCTAACATTTCTGTCATCCAAATTTTCTGAAAGGTAGGAGTGGGCATTAACAGTGCACACCCCAGTTCTTCCGCAATGGTTTTTCGTTGATAGTACGCAGTCAAACATTGATGAAGGGGTTTCGAGGCTTGAGTCCACATTTCTCATACTCTGCAACACTATGGAGGAAGTTTAAGCTATCATTTTCAACATAAGAAATTGGACTTACCCAAATTTTCCACTGTACAACTCCAGTTTTTGTTTAGGAATTCCTTGCACCATGGATAAACAAGTCAAAGAACTCGAGTATACACAGGGTTTGAGTCTTTCTGACTTCGTTTCTTCCCTCATTATTGCTGTATGATAGGTTTACATCAAGTTGGTAAGGGTAGTCTTATCGTGAATTCAGTACCTCCCTCCTCCATGATGATTGAGATTCCAGCAATGTCTGACTATCATTTTAAAGCCCAGCTTTATCAAAACTCCACATCCACCATATGCACCATTCTTCAATGTTTTTCTATCTAAGTTGGTGCAATCCTTCCTGACAACATCATTAGTATTCTTTGTTACATGCTGACCTCTGCTGTTCCAAACAATCTGGACAGAATCCTTACGGCTTGTGTGTAAGGGTGGTGCAGCATTACAATGAAGCACACCGTATCTCTACTATTAATCGTCGACTGGGGAAAAGCAGATCGTTCTTTTACATCGGGCAAGTCTCTGCACGCATTGTCCATTGGGATAGATTTAACACTAAGTCTTGACGTCAGGAGCTATGAATTTGATACACCTTTAATTCCACTCTTTTGTGTACCCTCCTGCCAATTAAAATTCTGCAGGGTGAGACGCAACGCAAAAACTGCTACAAGCATTCCAACACAGGTACGGCACAGGTGTTGAAAAGTGTAAACATTCATGAGGTAATCTTATAGTAATTGAACTTTGCAAATTTACTAACCAGTTTTTATCATATTAGGCAGGTCGTGGGAGGGGCAGTTTACCCAATGAAGCCATTTTTTAACCTGTAGCTGTCAACACTATACCACCGTGTCACCAATGAAATTTGGGGGGCTTAGACACCTAGAATAAAGCACCTGATGGTTGACAAGGGATTCAGAAATGAATGAACAGGAACAAGTAACTGTAGTGTACCTCACAGGACTCAAAATAACTGGCCAGGGTACATGACTGTGCACCTATATATATATATATGCTGATAGTAATTCAGTTTTAAAGTCATGTACAGTTATGTCAATGTGTGACACACATAGACCTACATGTACATTGTACCTCGTCATCTCACATATCTATATTACCAGTAAAGTCCTGAAATGCAAGGTCAAATAGGATACATAGACTCACTAAAAGGATAAATGTGTGTGAAAGGGACCAAAGCATTTTCTGGACAGTCTCCAAACTTAATGGTCCAGCCTTACGCCATTCTGCATTCCAGTCGTGATGACTGCTGTTTGTCATGCAGGTAAAAACCTCAGGACTGTCCATGCAACTCAACTTGTCCGCCACCGCCTACAGATTTTCACTTCCATTACAAAAGGTTACTCGACTATACCATAGGGAATGTAATCATCCAATTAGCTGAGGGAAAGACTGACCTCATGTTTCCCAACTGCAAAATTAGTGCACCTTCTGAGGCTACAAAACTGCTTACATGAGCCCAATTACCATGCATATGTAACCTAGCATTTATGTGTATTTTGAATCAATAACTAGGAAATGTCACTGTAATTTTTCCTGTGATTTCTTGACTACCCTAACGTTACAGATATTAATTTTTCCGATATACACACACTGATATCTAAATCTTATGGAGATAAACAAAATATTTTTAAAAATTATGTATGAAGACATTTTCATTGCAGACAGTACGTATATATATACTGTAACAGTAGAAACATGCTACAGCACAAGAACATATATAATTATTTATTAACATTACTTCACATAATTATATTAGCGAATATTGTACTGGCAACAGTATACCCTAACAATAACGGGGTTAATTATAAGTACATGCATGTACATCAGAATCCTTACCTGTAACACTACATACAATGTAGAAGGTGTAAATATCTTGACGCAATGTCCTATCCTCACCAGACCCATCAAATCATACATGATGGTACTCAGTGCAGAAGCTCCATTCGGTGTTCTCTCGACAAGACACTCTGCAGGATGCCAATCAATTCCCATTTGCCGAATCGTTCAAGGGTACCAACCAAGGACACCCTTCACACGTACGACATTAAGTATCATCGATTAACTAACTTTACATTAAAAATTGCGGCAGTGGCTGTGAAAGCTGGCTGCAGCAGCACAATTAGGAAAAGTGCCAGGGAAGAAACGTGGGATCGATGGATTTTGCTCTTACCTGGTGGCATGGAGGCTGAGTAAATGTAATGATGATGTGAATCATATCGAACGCCAAGTTCTAGATACTGTACAACTCCTTGGACATGGAGGGAATCCCAGGAAACACACAGTAGGGAGTAAGATGGCAAGCAAGGCAGAGCTGGTCAGAGGATATTTGTCTAAAAATGTTTGATGCCTACATGTATCAGGTTGTCATCAAGTAGTGCGAAAACCAAGTCTGCACTACAAATTTCAATGGCTCCATAACTACAGTCACCAAATTGTTTCTGAAAGCTTCCCTTGACATATTGACTTCAGTATGAGCTCACTGATCACACAGGTCAATATTCTGTGGGAGAGTGAGTTCAACTTGAAAATGTACAATCGGCCACAGTTCAACTTCCCATAGTACCTTGAAATTTAATACCGGTACAAAATATGCCGATAGCCAACTTACCATCACTGGATTCTCCTTGAAAATGACACAGCTCTGCAGCCTTATATCTTTACATGACAAGCATAGTGAATAATCGCATCCTAGGGACATGGAGAGCAAATTAGACACGAGTATGATCCTGGTCCTAGATTTGCTAGTCAATTAGATTTGGATAACACCAAGCTGTGAACATGCCACTCACCTAACTTATATGTTCCATAATATGTAATCATGGAAGTGGCACCTAGCCAGCACAAGGTTAGGTAAATGTGTATGTGGCTTTTCTGCATAATACCGCATAACAGGAGAACTCTACAACATGTATCAAAACTTGCACACGTCTCTAAAATACATCAATTTTGTCGTCTGGAATAACTCCCAGGGGCTTTTACAGCAAACATTACCATGATTACACAAGAGCTTTCTAAATTGACAAATTGTTTTGTGGGCGTACACTGAACTCCTCAGCAACAGGGGTCCATGGTTGTTCTGAAGTGATAAACAGGTAAGGAAAGGGCTTTTGAGACAGAGCTTTTAGACATTATCCCTGAGCGGGTAATATACTTTGAAAGGTTCTTCGTTTAGAGGGTTTATGATGCATTGCACTGGATAGCAGTTTGTGCATTATGATGATTGAATCCTTTTGCTTCTCAGAAAATGTAAGACATGCGTTGATGTCAGTATGTGCCCTTTATATGACGCTTTATATGACGCTACTGATGATACAACTTGCCATACATAAAGATAATATATAATTATTATTTTCTGTTCGTTCTTTAAAAGACTATGTTTCCTTTCTGATCAGCTTGCTTACTTAACAGAGACAAAATATTTTGATACAGTACCTGGAAAGTCATCCTCTTCCGAAATTGACTGAGACTGTATAAGAATTCTGTACTTTGCTGAAACTAGTGACAACTTCAGGATGAGACAAAGCAAGAGGTAAAGAGAGGCCCAAAAGAGAACAACATGCACTGAAACAACAATAAACACACACTAAAAGGCCAGTGTGGTTTACAGAAACATGTACAGTGTGTACTGTTTGTTCTAGGCGATTCCAGAATACTTTGTATAGTGTGTAAAAGGAAAGCCGGTTGTCCTCCAGTGAGGGGGGAGTGTAAACAAAGGAACAGACTTAAGCTTGCCACAGCCTTTGAAAAGTTCTCTGGTTGCCAAGGGCAAAATGTTGTCTTTATTACATGTCGTAAATCCCACTGTAATGGGTGTAGAAGTCCTGAACTAAGGTCATGGGTAAATGGCCTAAGTTCAGTGCTATGCAGCACTGCCGTCGATCACTAGGTACGTAGATAGGTTTGCACATTGCAGATAAGGATGTATCCTATTTTTCTTCAACCCACCAGTCCGGAGGCAATTTGTTTCCATGAAAAATCCAAAGAGGGACGGAAGAACATTTATCTTGGGCTCACAGTTCCTGAGAAATACAATATATTCTAGAAATGGTAGCTAGCGCTCAAAGATAAAAATGGACCCCTGAAGGCTTTAATAGACTTACAAGAGAATATTTGGCCATACTGAGGTGCTATCGGTTTTCAATGTTACAGTGGTACTAAAGCAAAATATAATCTCTTATCCAGTTATTCTGGTGCCTTGGATTAAAATCATTCTTGGTTGAACCCTATCCATAATCAATAGATCCTTAATTAGACCATTTTTCCTAGCTGTTACTGTGTATGATGATGTTACTATGTATCTAAAGCAATAACTTGGCTAACTATTCCCAATGTTTCCTCCAATGCACATGTACATTATATTCCAATATCCTATACTGGATGAAGACAACAGGAAAACTTAATAATCAATACAGAACTGTATAGAAAATAGGTAAGATTCATCTACCTTATAGTAATCTGAATCTCCCCTCTCAAAAGATTTTACATCAATTCCACGACGGACTGCTATCGATTAGGTTATCAGCCAAATCACCGCTGGACGGAGAATTTATCGATTTTGAATTACTTCCTTTCAACCTGCACTTGGCAGTGAATTCTCTTGGATCCCAACTGGCTGATAGGACTGTTCTACTAGTGTGATCGTTCAAAGTGGTGGTTGGAAAGTGCACATCCCTTCCATTCACTGAAAATTTCTGACAGCATACCTAATACATTTGTAATCCTTTAATTTCAACTGCTTACCCCTTAAGACTGAAGTAATTTCAACAGGTTGGTAAGACATACATGTAGGATATATGGATTTTCCTCTTACATAACATGTAGTAATTCTCTCTACGCAGCAGGTGAGAATCACTGCTGGTAGTGTAAAAAAAAATCCCTGTATCTTACCTCTTAAGAGTTATATGTACAAGAAGTAAATGGTATGCAAATGAAGTACTCAGCATAACTAAAAAGATGTCACTTGTACATGATTGCACATTAGTATATGGTAACATAATAAAAAAAAACAAATGCATATGGTAAGATACGCTGTGATTACTAATTCAAATAAAAACACAAGCAAATTCCAGTTTACCTGGTATATTTGTACTTTGTACCTTCTGTCTGGCAGCACCCAATGACAATAGAACTACATTTGATGACAGACAGCATCAGGGCTGTGGCATAATGGCTATTGTACATCAAATTCACACCTATCAGCAAGAACTGTCACAACTATATGTTACACCAGTATCAATCTGGGTGTGTCCAATTTTGTACAAATGCCAATACTGCTCAGGGAGCTGCTTCTTTCACAACATAAGAAGACTTTGTCCAAATTTGGATTCACTGCTAACTGAAGTGTATATCTCAATTTGTTGTAGGACAAGGTAAAGCTTGTTTATACTTCTGAATCTGTTATACTTATAGATTACCAATAGTTGCCCTAGCACTTTACAGCCAAATACTTGTACAAACAAACAACTCTAATACAAAAGATGACCAAAGTTTAATTCTCACCTGACGGTCACTTGATGTTTTCTTGGACTTAACAACTATTTTTAGGCAGCTAAATAAAACAGGCGCTGCACCTTGTATACCAGCTCCAAATAATGAGCTGCCTTGATATCCATCCTTTGCTTCATTTGATTCTTGCAACTTTTGTGTCATCCTTTCCTTCAATTTATTTCTCCAACACTAAAATATCCCTGCTTATTTCAGTTTGATTTTAGTGAATACTTACTGAATGATGCCCTCAGCAGGAAGCACCGGTAGTGTGTTACCATGGCAACGCAACTGTCTGGAATCCAAGTCTAGCAGGTAGACGGCTTTGGAGTGCTGTGCAAACAACAAAGACAAATGACAAAGATTACAACATAGGTATTCAAACTTCCCTTTTCCCAAAAGAAAATAGGCAATTTTTTATACACAACTTGAAAACTTTGAGGGAGTGAGAACTTTCTGCCCCCCCCCTCCATCTACTTGTCAATCATTTGCATTGCTGCACTTATTCATTGTGTAAAGATTCTGACCAAACAAAATACCACGACACGTATCTTCACTCACTCAGTAACTCTCTGGGCTTTGGTTAGAATTCAGATTAAGTAAGATGAAAAATAGGGAACAGAACACGGAGGGCTATAACCTTCATTGCTATCCACAGAAATACTTCAACTGCCACAAACTAAGTCCCTAAATTTGTTCTACTCTTTTATGGCCACATATTTTCTAGTTATCTTTCCAAGTAGGGGTAGCTTAAAACCACATTTTGAGCGATATCAATCGGTGGGATCAGAGCATCCACTCTAATGACAGCACTTCCTTCAGCACCAGGGACAGGCCCATTACTAGGAGGTGTACAGTAATACCCTCGGTGGACTTAACCTACATCATTTCCAGCAAATGAGCTGACAGGTCGGCAAGAAATCAATAGGCATCCGTTCTGTACTCGGGCACACTTGATGAAAGGCTGACAAAGGTCAAGCACTTACACATGCTGATAGGTAACAAATCAACTGGATGGATGTGTCTATTTGGACTGGTGCAAGGCATCATAATGTGTTATCTGTAACTCTTTAAGAGATGGAGTACTCTGGTAAAAGGTTATGACAATTTTTGTTAAATATCAAGGAGGAAAAGGCACTTAGATTATAGCCTATTTCATTAGTTAAATGTTCATGGCACAACAATTGGAAACTACCTGCACCAGACAAATTTTCCATGCACTACTCAGATTTCAACAAGTATGGGTCATACTATAAACTTTTCAAAAACTATTATTACCATTATGGGGTAGACGGTAAGTAAGGTGATAGCAAATAAAAATCCACATACAGCTACATTTCTACACGTACATTTAAATCCAGCATATGGACCAGCACAGGTTAGGTGCAGGCATACATCAGAAATACCTGCACAGCCCCAATTTTACCTGGCAGTGCACTAACCTGCATATGCACCCAGTATAGCCCTGAAAGATCTTGTATGTAATTCGTTTAACTATTAGGATGCACCACGTTGAGTTATACTGCACAGATGAGTACCATAAAACTTCAGATAATACAGCTCCAACAGCAACACCCCACAACATGATATATGATGCAATAACATAAGAAACTTGGTGCAGGCATAAGGCTAGAATCAGGGGAGACGTTATATTATTCACCATATAAATCCTCCATCACTTTGCCTAGTAAAGTTCAGCAGGTGCCTGTGAAGAACCCGAGGTTTTGACAGCACACAAAGCTGCAAGTCACAACTGCGCCATCCCCTGATGTTCAACCTTTCAGCAGGAGTTATACGCATTTGGAAACAGTTCACACAGAAGCCTGTGCTTTGCCATGCTTTGCATACATCAATACGACATGTGAGAATACTTGGTGTGACAGTGAATAGCAAGGGTACAGGGAAAATGATTGGCGAGTTTTACGGAGGTGAAAAGTGCAAGCTGACAGTATACCCGATAGGATACTGCCTTTTACCAACAAAGTCCCTAAAGTCTCCAGGTATACAAACTCAGCCCAAGAGCATTAGAAAGTCTAACAAACACAGTAGTATGCAGTATAACCTCTTTACCTCGGACTAACAGTAAGACTCTGAATGCAGGCCTGACCATTGACAGTGACGACCATTGGCAGGAAGAGCTGTTGCTGTGCACTGCAGAAGCCTCATATTGTAAAGCAAAGTGCCATAATCCCTGCAGAACTGGACTGGGACCTCCCAAACATCTACCAACTGATACTTACCGGATTTCTGTATGTAACAGCAGGATTGGGGGATGCTCCACAAAGCCACCACTGCTGGTAATCTGGTGAGATTGGGCTTAGGGGTGTGTCTGCCAGATCTTTCTATGATCCCGTAAGGACAGGTCGGCTGGCCAAATATGGGCAAAAGTATCCTTCAACTTCATCAAATGAAATCCCTTGACACATCCTCAGTAACGCCCAATCACAGTCTTCCAGACATAGCAGTGTTGCTTTCAAGAGCAAGGGCAAACCCATGGACTGTCTTGTCAACCATCTTCCCTGTTACTTAACATATACATGATTTCAGCACATAAGGAACTGTTTTTCCTTAACGAAAAAGAGAATGAGAATTATATTATACAAATTTGAATTTGGATGTCTCACAAGTGCCTTAAACATGCAGCTACAATGCATTTGGAGTGGATTTTGACTGGAAAGGGGACTTACTGTTATTACTAGGACTATGAAATAAAGGGTTATATATCACAGATTAAGATTCACAATGTTCATCTTTCTGTGATACACATGTATGAGGTTGAATGTTGTTTATCACAAATCTCAAATGGGTATCATGGGTTTGTATATATGAGAATCAATGAATAGAATGAAACATACCAAAATAACTAAAAGTATTTAATTATTTATCATACTACAGGCTATACAGATGCAGTAGGTGAGCTGATATCCCATAGACATAATCATAGTCAGTCCCTAAATTAATAGCCCCCACTAGACATGGGGATGACAATGACAAAGCTGTGTACGTTATATCCAATTACCTGGGTCATTAGCAAAGAGACAACAAGAATTATAACATCAATCATTCTTACTGCAGTCAAATTCGCTTAATCATTATTTGTTACTCATTTGCACACAATCATGAAGATTTTGCTTCTAAAACTGACTACAGGTAATAAGGAGTTGAAAAGAGGAGATGGAAATACCACGTGACATGCTACAATGGCAGATATTACATGAATATGATACATGCACATCTGGTAGAAATCTAAGCATCGATTACTGCCTATGGTATCCATGACATAATGGTTAGATTTGTCATTGACTTGATTTGGCCATGGTCAAATCAGGTAATTAATGGACAACAGGGGACCAGCCACTCCAAAATTAGTCTCCGGACCTAATAAAATTTACACCTAATAAATTATTACCAAGCCCAACACACTCTGTCATTCTTGCACATGCCTGAAAGGTAACCAGCAGGTAGCATTGCTGATGATAGCATTGCTAATCCTGTTGTAACGCACAAGACATGTAGACTCTGTTACATAAAATCACATTGACTTTCTAAATTCTAGTGCCAATCTAACCTTGTCTAGCAATAAATGTAACTGCTATCATATCAAAACTGTATCAGTCCTGTCTCCCTGCAGTGTGTACTGCAGTTGCAAGAGGGCATCAGATAACGCACTGAATGTCGACTGTTGCAAGAATCCAGCATGTATCATGATGTGACCATTTGCTCAATAGAGCTACATGTAAGTTCTGGTTGGCCCTGATTTATGCTAGATGTGTTAAGGGTGAAGGACAAGACTGATCATAGACTACACTACACCGAGCACAGTTTTAAAACATGAAAAAGTAAAAGGAAAAATTAAGGTACAATATATCAACACATGATGTACTGATGACCTACCACATTTGGGATGATTAGAGCTAAGTTCTGGTTGGACCTGATGCTAGATGTGTTAAGGGTGAAGGACAAAAATGATCATAGACTACACTAAGTACAGTTTTAAAACATGAAATATCATAAAAGTAGATGGAAAAATGAAGATAATATACGTTGACATGATGTAGTGATGACCTACCACATTTGGGATGATAGTCCCGATGGCGTCCTCCACCGCTCTCCTCAGCCCATCAAGGTCAATCACACCACTTAGCTGCAGAAGGGCATCCTGGGAAATAGCAGCAAAGATTCTGATTAGGACTAGACGTTACTGTAAATCGCTTTAACTTTGCTGGGACTTAATTTTATGGTAGGTGTGTCCACAGCATTTCAAGTTTGCAGTTGAGATATCCATACTGACACAATGCAAGACACAGAACATGTTAATTTGCAGATGAAGTTTGTGTTGAAAGCTCTCTGTGAAAAACTTTGTTCAACATAAGGCCACAAATATTTCACAATTTACAGTCGATTGGAGTTAAGGAGGCATGAAATGATTGCAATTGTAAGGAAAAGGCACCTCTCCTCTCATTGGCAGTGCTGTTAACGTATTCATATCACACATGCCCTGCTGGCCGACTCTCTCTGCGGCTTGTTATTCAACCCCCAGTAATGGAGATCACCATCAGTATTCCTAACTGTATGTCTATGACCTTTGATATTTGCCAGACCTCTTTAACTGTGTCCAAATTGCTTGTCAATGTTCTCAGTTTGTATTGAAGTGACTGCTATTTGCCACCAGTTATTATTTAACATAGGAACACAGGCCTGCATACAAATAACTACACACTACGATATGTTTTGTTACCAGCAGCACTCTTTAGTTCTTAAAAACTACCCCTAATAACTGTTGTATTCTTCAAAAACGTATGAAAAGATAATCTATCATACCAATATCATTTTAATATATTCATGTTCTGGTAATTTAAGACTGATACTTGAATGTTAGCACAAGCTGGTCCATTCATTTTTACAACAATCGTGGTATAGGGAACCAACTGACAACCTTGACACATTAACCAATGTGACGCTTTCTTGCTGGTCCCTTTAGATAATTTTACCCATTGGCACAGGCATTAAGAATCCTGGCTACAGTGACCACCTGCCCACATAGATCAGATTTTATCAGTCCCCTGAATGGTCTACTTGGCCAGTTTTGACTGTATCTACCATCAGGTAATGTATTACATGGTGTTGGTTTAAATCCTGCTGGATTAAGATTCAGCTGCCTGGTCAAAAACATCAACCTCAAATGCCAGAAATAGATTACCTGTGCATTTTTTCTCCTTTGAAGATTATAACATGGTTTAACGATCCTTGGCCATAACCCTATCAAAGAGACAAGTTAAAATTCGTGACATTCTAAGTAGATATTATCAAAGTGCACACAAAGCCAGCATACTCAATCACAACCTTGAGTTACCTGCTGTTGGCTGGAGGGATACTGATGATTCAAAATATATATTTTGACATATCAACATTGATAAATATAAATGCGATGTGTATGTGTCACACATGTTATCATCTTGTTGCTCCTTTTTTCCCTCTTTCCATTTCCAAATATTCCACAAGCAGGCCTTCCTGAACCATTTCTAAAGCTGTAGTGCTAAAAGATAAATATTAACAGGTGGACGTCATAAATCACCACTTGTATATTGTCACATTAAACATTCAAAGGCATAACTTCCTGCATAAACCACTATTAAATAGAATACAAATAACATTCACCTCTAATGGCACTTTGGGTAAATGCTAAATTGGATGGGTAAATGCTAAATTGGATTCAGTAATGTGTGATTTAGTACCTTAAATAAAAGCAAGTACATGTATGCATGAGCTATTGAGCTGGTAAAGCCATTTACCTTTCCGTAGCAGGTAGTATATACAGGTTTTGACAGCTATACAATAGGTTTTGATACTGTAAGCCAAGTCTCAGTTGAATATATATATACATAACAGTAAATATACTCCACCTGGTGCTTCAAAACGTAAATCCTATTTGAAGTTGAAACACTCGTCGATCAGTGCACACAGAGGAAAACCACAGAGTAGAATTATGCTAAACAATAAACCTGTACATAAAAGCATCACCCAAATGGAACTATGCCATTTTGCCTTGATTGTTACTGTGCTCACAGTAAGAAATACATTGATAAAAATATTACCTGTACATGCCTTTTTCTTGTACATGTGTCTTGTATGTCAAGTAAGCTGTTACTAAGCTACCTACCATATGAATATTTTGTACTCGTAGCAGGTCAGAAATAAACACTAGCCTGTAGCCAAAAGAACAGGTGGTTTATGATGTTCTTTAGTCTTCAAAAGAAAAGGTCTCCCTTTGAGTAATTTAGCCCCTGTAATCCAGGCAACATTTCACTATTCACCACATCAAACATTTGACACCTATGCATGAACACGGTTACCATTCAGTAACACGCTGTTGCATGCATGTTCTAAATGCTTTTGACATATTGTATTCATGGCTGTTACATAGCAGGCGAATGCACCAGTAAAATATTAAATACACTGCCTTTAACACAATACACTGCATCACTACATTGGGTACAACGTGTACAAAGCAGAGTGAAATGCTAAAGACCTTACCATATTGCTGGGGTTTTGCAGTCTGTATTTTCCCCATTAATAACAAGGAGAGCCTCGTGGGATGATTGGATGACCTACCTCCCGTCCTCAATAAACTGATATATACATATATACGGCCAAAGCAAGTTAACATTTAGGGCAATGAAATATCATTTTTTAAATCTATCGACCCTTTTTATCTTGTCTTTCTAATTACAAATTAACATGTACCTTGTAATTTTGTTGAGAAATTGTGTACAAAGAGATAATAATGTCCAGAATATTTGTGTCACTAACAATTTTGTCCAATGAAAACATGCAAGCTTAGCAACCAGGTATTAAGTGGCATTAGGTAATTTTCAAACTACGTCAGTTGTATTTCCAGGTGTTACGCAGCACAGGGAGTACCTATTTCAGCCAGACAACTGTTGGGCTTAAAACAATCTGGATGTGACATGTATAAAATCAACCAGTTCTCTTCTAGTGTTTCCATCTAATGAAATAATGTTTTAATACTAAGAATTTTAAGGAATAGAAAAGGTGACTGGCAATACTAGACACCAACCGACAAATCCACAAAAAAGCCTTTAATACCATTTTCTGCCTTTGAAATGAATGACAAGATACGTTGCCTGGGGCTTTCAATTATACAGGTAATTGCATGGCTTTTTCTGGCAACATTTTCGTGCAGCTGAGACCAGACTGCAAAAAAGAAGAGACATTTTTAAATGAAGATTGAGACCTGCTGCCTATGCATACAATTGTAACATACAATACTGTACAATATTGCAACAATTTGAATGGCTCAGTAAGGGAATACTATCACCAGTGCTGTCCTTGGTGCTGATTTTGTATGCTGCAAACATTAAAATAATCTGATATCTGACAAATATATGAAGAAAAAACAATTTCATCTTGCATTTAAGTTTGCAGTACATGCGGCATACAAAATCAGCACCATGGACAGCGCTACAGGTACCATGATTTAATTCCTGTAACTGTGTCAGACACTGGGAGGTATTCAAATTGTATGCAACAATGTGTAATCTGGTATCTTATATTGTCTCTATTTATCATAATATTTCTATTCATAAGGAGGATATGTGTTTCTGTAAAATATATTCTGCTTGGCATTCTAACAATATCACTAATATCTAGTACATATACTTGACTTGAAATACTACACTTACAAACATATAGTAATTACAAATAGAAGATTGCCTTTCTTTTTTGAGAAAAATCCAGATTAGACTCAATTATAGATACCATTAAGTCCACACATTGAACTCCATCAGGCCTCTGGCAAAGCAATCATGGAACTAATTCCTCATTTTCTCTTATGGCTGAAGCAGCCTGTTCCTGAAAACCATCCAATGTGCTGTAAAACCAATTCTAAAGGTTCTGAACTTCATTGCACTAAATGATAAGAACATCTTTCCTATAAATGACACTTTAAATCTACATTTCATCAATCCCTGCCCCTCAGCATAACTACACTGTACCATAACACCTAGTTCCAGGACCACTGAGATTTCTAATTTTCCCATAACTGACCACCAACCCAGCTAAGATCTGTGACAGGCTCTTTAGTCTGGGTCCCTATAAACTAGCTCAAGCACCACACATTTTTAAACAACTGTAGGCTTTACCATGCCAACCAGATTGCTAAGAAATTGGGTTTTTTCTAACCAAGGTATAAAGTTGTTACATGTAATAGATATTGTCAGATCTCAATTTACCTCCCACACGACTAGAGCTATATAGTATATAGCAGATTGTTGATCAAAAGCAATCTGGTAAAAGTGCAGTTTAATTGCAATAGACTAGGGGGCAGTTCTGAAAGATGCTACAGTATGTATCTAGCAGGATGATGTGTGTTTTGTGTGAGTATATCAAGTGAATAATGCTACTTTTTAAAGAAAACAACATCATTGAAAGTAACTGACAGATAATACAAGACTAACTGCTCCTTAAAACTCTATAGATTCCAAACTGTGCTGCATTAGAGGAGAAAACATCCATTTTCTTGATACATTACACAAACAGCTGTCGACGTCCCTCAGCATAACCACACTGTACCAGCATAACACCTAGTTCCGGGACCACTGAGATTTCTAATTTTCCCAAAACTGACCACCAACGCAGCTAAGACCTATGACAGGCTCTTTAGTTTGGGTCCCAGGTGTAAACTAGTTCAAGCACCACACATTCAAGCAACACTTCTAAGCTTGCCATGTCAACCAGATAATACCTGTCTGAAAGATCTGAACTGAGCTAAACAGTGTTAGTCTAGAAGTACATGGCTTTTGTCCAGTTTGACACAGAGACTGACCTGCAAGAATCAACTAATGCAGGAGTTACTGGGTACTCTTTGCTTGGTCTGTCTTTTTTGGGCTAGTACTTGTATCAGAACAGTCACACAGTCTTTGAGTCAAGGCTATACAAATATCATGACGCTAGCACTTCTGGTACATATTTGTTGATTTATCAGCAACATCAACTCACTCTTAATAGTCTTATGAATCTTAACAGCGTTCAAGAAAATTCATTCTGTTCATTAAACTCAACTGCAAGGTACCAACCCCAACTCACCTCTACATGGTGGGCCTATGACATTTTCAGAAGAGGTGCCTAGTGCATGTTTTG